ATATATATATATATATGTATATATATATATATAATTAAATAGTACTATTTGCCAATTTCATATTATTATTTGACAGACTTGCAACATAACAATTTAAAACCATAACTAAATTTTCTTCTTCAATAAGTCGACAATCAAATATGATTATTTCCTTCTCTCACAAGAAAATTTTTATTGCGAAAAAAATCTTTCATAAAATAATGATACATTGTATCAATTTAATGAACTGTGGCAAGGATGATTAAAGCATAATTTATGTAATAAAAAAAACATAAATGATATAGAAATTCAATATCAGATTATAAATAAGATTATTTTTCTGTTTTTATATATAATTTTATGTAATAATTTAAATGTTAATCTTTTATTTAATACACATGCCATGTTTTATTTAATTTTAACGATTTACTATAGATATTTTTAAATATATTTGTGCTACTGAACTTGAAAAAGCTAAGATAATTCTATGAATTTATAACCTGTATACCTGTTTTGTTATACATAAACTGCTATATATTACATATGTATTAAATATAAGAAATTTTTATAGATTCAATAATGCCGTAAGATTGGAACAAATAAAACTTTATGAATTACTAGTTTCGCATAGTGGTACTCTTCTTGCACATGAACCAATTACAAGACCTCTTCTACGATTGCTAGAAGAATGTGCAAACGATGTTATGCCATTAGAAGTAGAAAAAAAATTAGTAGTATTGTTGAATCAACTTTGTGTTGCCTTAATGCAAAATATGGCATTACTTGACTTGTTTTTTCATCCAACTGCAGCTACAAAGAACAAGTAATAATTTATTATTTATTATAACAAATAATACTTCATTGAATGTATAATCCTAACGGAAATAACGATTAATTATTCCAGATTTATTATATTCAATTTATTAATACCTCATGTTCATCGAGAAGGTGGTGTCGGTCAACAAGCACGGGATGCTATGTTATTATGTATGTCACTTTCAAAAAGAAATGAAGAAGTTGGATTGTACATTGCCGAACATTCTAATATATGTCCTGTAAGTAATACAGGTACAATTTCAGAATAAAATATGTTTTCAAAAATATGTGTACAAAAGTGTTATAAACCATATGTCCATTCTTGTTTAGGTATTAGCTACAGGATTGAGTGGCCTTTATTCTTTACTCCCAAGAAAACTTGATATTGAAACAAATGATTGGCATCAATTAACACCAGATGATGTAAATGATTTACCTGCACTTACACAACTTATGAATTCTCTGGAATTCTGCAATGCAGTTGCACAGGTAGCACATCCAATAGTACAAAAACAATTACTTGAATTTTTATATCAAGGCTTTCTGATTCCTGTTATGGGTCCAGCATTATTACAAGTAAGTGTAATGTAATGCTATAGAACAATTTTACATAAAAAATTTAGTAAAAAAAATTTATTAATATCTTATAAATAATTTTTCTATTTTAAAGAATTACTTTTTATATTTTTAAAAATGAATTGATAAAGCACTTAATAAAGATAGTCGGAAGGTTCCAAATTTGAATCTTTGCTTAAGCGATATTTTTTGCAATAAGATTCTCGTGAGAGAAGCGAGATAATCGTTATTAAGAGAAAAAATTTTGCTACAGCTTTGAACTACTATGTTGCAAGTCCATTAGAAAATAACGGCACGGCGATATAAACTGTTATCTTGAAGCTTTACATATACAGGGTAAATAAAAAGTCCTAGATCGGTGAAATATTTCGAAAATTAAGCATTTCCAAAAGAAATGTTTCCTACAAAAGTTGTAGAGTTTTAAATGATCTATCTTCACTGATCTTATAAATTATATTATTATAAATAGTTTTTATTTTTATTTTTGTATTTTATTTTTGTTCTTGTCTAGATTTTGTTTTTTTAAAGTTACATTATTATAAATAATTTTTTGTTTATAAGTACTTATTTATTTGTATTTGATTGTGTTATTTAAATACTAATATAAAAAGTTTGTAAAAAATTTATTTTTATGCATAAAAAATTAATTTTAATTTATATCATTATTATATTTTCTTATTACTAAAAATCCTCTTTTCACATATAGGAGCAAAATGAAGAAATTGACGTCTTGAAAAATTTAAATTGTAACAAGATTCTAATTTATTTATAACTTTTCAATTTTTACAAATGATAGCCTTAGCCAATTAGAAAAAAAATTGATTGTTCTTTTTACGTCATCAGAAAAATCAGAAAAAATTGACAAATCTTAAGGTCGGCATTATCCCTTTTCTGCTATTTATTTAAGAATAAAATTCGCATAATATTATAAATATTTTTTGAATATAATCTGTTAAAATTGAATATAAATGATTAATATGAGAGATGTACAAAATCTACAATACAAATCTAACATTAAATTACAGTATATGATTTTCTTTGTTTATTATTTTATTAATTATTAATACATTATTTACACACATTATTACTTACAAATTATTTTTGAAAATTGACTATATTAATGATTTTGTGTATATGGTTGTGCGTATGTGCATATGTGCTTCATATTTTATTTTATTTTAATTTCTTGAAAAATATATTTACAGACTACTGTGGAAGAATTAGTCACAGCAACAGCTTACTTTGATTTGTTTCTTCGATCTGTAACCAATCCTGGTTTGTTGCGATCATTTGTTAGGTTTTTATTGGAAGACAATTATGATGACTATAGAATATTGGATAGCTTAATACAGAGGATTTCTTCTCGATCGAGGGTAAATTAAATTGAAAGTGTTTTTTTACAATATGTGTCTGATAACATGTTTTTTAAATATTAATTTGTTTCTAATATTTTATTTTTTCAATTTAGTTATGCATAGTTACTCTGGCATTGTTTGAAACTCTGGTTAATTTGAATTGCGAAGATATTATGTTGGAATTGTGTTTGGGTGCATTAAATCCGTGTTCCCATGTAATGCTTTCCCAACGTAGTCGACTGAGGGACATAGATCCTTTTGGACGTGCAGCAGAAAAATTTTTGTCGCTAGCACCACGTTGTTGTTCCGCATTTATGTTATTGGATTCGCAAACAAATTCTTTACCTAGCACCGTATTGTCTACATATGATAAATATATTACATCTGAATCATTAAAATCGCTACCGACATCGGTAAATTACAGTACTAGATTATTAGATAGTTTATATGGAAATTATCATGCATATCTTTGTGATGCCAGACAAAAAATCAAAGCTTGCCGTATTGCATGTTCCACCTGGTCTTGTCAATATGACGGTAATTTATCTCAAAATGGTAATATTAGCAATCTAACTACATTGATGGATGAAAATATATCTGATCAATCGCAGAAAAAAATGGAAGAATCTAGAACATTGTCTCTGGAAATGATTAAGAATGCAGTTAAATCATGTGAAAATAATGAAAATGCATCAATGGATAACGTATTACTTAATATTCAGTCTTTGTTAGAAGGCAAAGATTTAAATAGCAATGAACACAATATTAAAATTGAATTGAATACGGATATCGCTTTGTCTCTTGACGAACAGGCACAATTGGATGCTGATATTGCAGAATTGTTGAATGAAGATATTAGAATGACAGAATATATAAAAGAAACCTGTTTAAATAAGAAAGAATCTAATAGCTGCATAGACGATTCAATCATGGCCATGAAATTACTTACATCACTAGGAGAAAGTAGTGGTTATGAAAGTTTTGCATTTAAAGAATCGCCAGAATTAACACCAGATAATGAGACCAATGAAGATCGTAGGAGTGAACACGAAGAAACGCATGTCATAATCGAAAAAGAAATTGGCGGTGTCACTGTTCATAATATTGCAGAATCGAATTTTTCAAGAACATTGTCGAATAAATCAAATAAAGACACATTGTATCGACAGGATGTATTCAATGGACAACCAAATGTTGGCATATTTTTAGATGTGGTTTTACGAAAACTTGAATGTATGACAAGCAATAACTTATATGTCAATTTACATCTCACAGGCCTCATCAGCAGATTGGCAATATATCCACAACCCTTATTGCAATCGTTTTTATTGAATCATTCTCTTGTATTTCAGCCTAGCATCAGATCTTTGTTTCAGGTATATATTTATAGTTATTATTTTATGTTTTTGACTGCAATTCTGCATACCCACACCCACATCCACACCCACACCCATACTCATATCCATACCCACATACTCCCAAAACTTCACTACTGGTTATATTGGTACTCTTATGGGTACCTCTAATAGTCTTATATTTCCCCGGAATTATATATATTAGGCATTTGATTTCAAACATGTTTTATATGAAAAAATTGAATCTGTAATATTATGTTTCTACACTATACAAAGTTACTTGATTATGTCACATCTTTTTTATTATGAATATGTCAAATATATAAATATTTAATATTTTGATTCTGGAAAAAATATCTGGAAAAAAATGGAAAATTGGAATATCTGGAAAATTTTACATTTGTGATAACAAATCTTAAAGAGTTAAATATTGTACTATTGAGAAAGAGTTATAATAAATATACAATTACAAGAAGAAATTTTTGTAATTGTATATTTTTTAAATAAAATAGACAAAAATTAGAATCAAATAATTAAGTGAAAAACGGCATTACCTGTTTTCAAGAAAAGTTTTATGATTTTAGTTAGTTCACATTCGGTAATTGGTTGAAGCCAAAAAAATCAATTATCTTAATAAAAGTTTATTTCCTATGTAATTCAAACATAGAAAATATAACAAAAAAAAAGATATGATTATAATACCGCATCTATGCTTATAAATTCATATTGATTTTAAATTATAATTTGTCTTAATTAAGCAGTATTCTTCTCTAAAAGATATCTATTTTGATTAATGGCTAGCTGTACTAAAAATTAAGAGAAATAATATAATTTATATAATTTATATTATAGGTGCTTGCATCATTAAAACACAAAATTGATCAATTTCTTTCAAATCATAATAATGTGGATATATTGGTAGAACAAGCAAGATTATTTTTAATTAGTAGAGAAGACAAGTTAGTAAATGCCAGAAAACATGTGATAGAAGCTGCTGCCCAATCATCATCTATTAAGAGGCATTTACTAACTAGTGAATCATTTTCAAGAGGTATTTATTTTATTTATTTTATGAGTATATATTATAAGAATTAGAATTATATTTTTCTCTCTCTTATAATTAGAGACTATAAATAGTTTCATTGCTTTTCTTTAATTTTTATTTTTGTCTCTTATTTTTTCATTCTCTTCCAAGCTTTATAATTATAGTAAGTTTTTAAAATTTAATTGTAGTATCTTTTAGTAATTATAGTATTTTTTAAATTTTATGCACGCTCTGGAAGTATTCAGAAAATGTATGTATTAGTACAAAATATTTTTGCATGTACATGATATAGATGTGTATAAGATTTGAATTGCTATATCAATTATATTTACAGGGGAACCAAAAAGGAGAAGTTTAACATCTTCATTGACACAAATGTTCAAACGGTCAAGTGGTAGTTTAAGTCCAAATCTAACAAATTCCGTTAGTCAGCCATCCAATATATCAGAGGATCAACTACACGTAGTTAAACCTGGATATAAGTAAGTTTCAAATTTCTGACTTTTCACCGCATTATTATAGTAGATTATACTATAAAAGAACACGTATACAGACATATAGGTACATACACACATGCGCATGCGGCATCTTATTTTACTAATAAAAGAGATAAACACAGGGCATCTATGTAATTTTTCTTACTCCATTAATTTGGCACTTTTTATTAATAAGTGAAGTTGAAATTAAATATATAATCGCGCTGTTTACAAATTGCTGATTCTTATTAGTCTTACTATTATCTATTATTAACTTTAAAATAATTGCAAAGCTACATTTTTCGCTGAACGTTGTACTACCGGTTGCACCCAATTTTTCATGTTTGCAATAAATTCCTAGATTGCACCGAACAGTGCAACAGTTCCTGTGAGGACTTTTAATCAGCTTGACATTAGCTACAAAATATTAAAATTTGAAGCAATTTGCCCGAGAACCATTTTTCATAAAATTTATGCAGGGTTCTTTATTGTAGTTAAAACTTTTTATTGTAATTATACGTTCTAAGTATTAATATTTTTTATTAATATTTATTAATATTTTTTTTATGAAGCTGTGTCAAGTATCAAGTCAAATAGTGATAAAGAAATTAATTTATTTTAATATGTAAAAATTTATACAATTTTTATTTCTAATATTAATATTCCAATATAAATGTAATAAATACACTTAAAGTTGATATATTTAGGTATTAATTAAATTTTAAACATTTTTTTCGATAGGTATATAAAAACTGCATGGGAATCACCGAATGAAGTGAGTCCAGTACAAAATGTTGTACTATGTGCTGTTATATTAGATGAATGGCTTAAAGAGCTCGCTGCAATTACTCAGGAGCATGCCATTATGTCCATTACAGATGATATAAAATTTAAATCTTAACATAGTAGTCAATTATGAAAATATACTTGTCAACACGAACATTTGGCAATATCCCTCCTTTGCTTTGGATATGTCGGGTATGTCAATTATTATTGATCGTTAGGTAATAAAATTCAATGCAACAGGCATGTACATATTGCAAATATTTGTGGAAATGAAAAATGACAACATTATTGCTATAATAAGATATTTGCTACTTTTTTATTTGATATTGGATTGGCAATCAACAATAGTCGAAATAGTTACGAACTACGCAGACATTGAGGATACCAACATGGAACGAATTTATTTGTTATGTCGATAATATTTTTTTTCATTAAACATATATGAAAAAAACATTTTGAAAAAAAAAAGAGAAAAAGGTTTTTTAATGTTTTATATTTAAAGTACTGTATTTTGCAATTATATTTAAATTTTTTAAAAATATGTAATTATTTTCCTAATTATTTTCGTAAACTGCGAAATTTCACAAGAAATAATTGGAAATTATTTAACATCATTTAATTTATTTATATGTAATTGTTTTCTCAAGATGATTTTATATATAATTGTTTTTACATTATTGGAAAATAATATTATATTGGATAGAACGGAGCTCTTTCGTCCATAAAACAACGATAATTAATATTTTTGAATGATATATTTAATATTTGAAGATCACACTTTTAATAAGCAATCATGTTTGTATAATATAATTATGTCATCGTTGTAGGAATATAAAAGCTGTAAAGCTAAGTGGTTAATAGAATTCAGAATCAGTTATCGTAGTGAAGCCGTCGTGCAAATTAAGTATCAAGAATCATAAACAAAAGATTCCTAGTTCAAATTTCGACTTTGTTAGTTTTTCCAAATTTCCTACACTATAAATTGACATAAGTTATTTTTCTGCAAATTTTCTTATCACTTTAAGATTGAAACTGATGGAATAGCACCTCTCTAATAGCACCTGTGCTTTTGTTTACTTCATGAATATAAAAAAAATTATAAAATAATGTTTTCTGAAACAAGATGAATAAACATCAATATTTTTTATTATAAAGCGAGATCTTTTGTTTACTATGAATTTATAAATTATATTTTATCTGTTATAGTGTTTCTTTCATTATATTCTATAATATCACATTTTGTAAAAATAAAAGCAGTTATTTTGTATAGAATATTGAAAAGTTTGTAATTTTAATTTCCTCGACGATAAGAGCGGAAAACTTAAAATATCAGAATACCTTCATCAGTAGTATGAGCCTATCCTATATTTATGTAAACTTGCGCACACTAAGCTAATTATAGCACATTCAAATGATTATGTCTATATATACATATGTATATAAAAATTTTTATATACATATATTATATACATATACATATATATTATATACATACATACATACATACATAAATTTAATATAAACTTAATACACACACACACACACACACAACATAACAGCGAGCGCGCGCGCACATAACAATTTAGAGTGGAGTAATAGTAGAGTAATAAGGATAACTTGACCTCAAAATGCAAAAATGGATCTAAAATATGCAGAATATTTTATGTACTTCAATGACAATTTATGTATTATTTTCGAGGGTCTTCGTTCACTGAATACAAATTTGATATCAGAATTTCAAATTTTTAAATAACTAATTTGATATGGCACAAATTTGTAATAAAATAAATTGTATTAATTTTATTTTTTAATAATTTATTATCTTTTTTAACAATGTTTTGAAAGTAAAAAAATAAAAACGAAATTTGATGTGATAAATAAATTTTGAGATAGTGAATTCAATGGCGGAAAATTTTATAAAATTCTTAATAAGTTGATGTATATTAAATCTGTTATGAGCGACGCTCGTATAATCGCGACGCGAAGATAAAACTTAATAAAATAATAAGCGCACAATAAATAAAACCAAGTTTTAAGTTTAGTATTAAGACATCAATCATCTTGATAGAGAAGATTAGCAAGGATGCGAATGACAACATCGTACCGAAATATTGACAGCGCTTTAACATAAGGATGTACTAAGGCCGGTGTGGCAATTGGAAACTCAGGAAAATAAAAAAACTGATAGAGAGTGAGAGAGGAATTTAGTTCGAAATACCGTGTATGGTGTGCCGTACTGTGAATCTGTAAAAAGTTGTATACGAAATTTCTTCAAATAAAAGATTGATTTATTAAAGAGGCAGCGTTAACAGAAAAAGTGTTTAAGTGTCTGTGCGTCCCTCTGTTTGATCACTCCTGCGGACGATTTCCTGGGAGCGGCACAATTGGTGGCAGCGGTGGGATTCCGCAGCATTCTGGACAAGATCTGAAAAAAAGAACCAGTCATGCTAAGGAAATGCCGAATCCAAGCAGAAAGCAGCAGGAGTTGAAGCAACAGAGATACTCGATAATCGTCAACGAGCGCGAGATGTATTATATTTATGTGTTCTATTTAAAATCGGAATAATGAAACATCGGATGATATTCCTATTAGTACAGAAGAATATCATGGAAAATATTTCTCCTAAAATAATTGAAGGTAAATTTAAATCTAACTTTATTGACATTCTTTGTTTGATCTATAAGATAAAATAATATAATGATACACTGCTATTATTTATTAATTATTAATAATATTAGATAAATATTCAATTCACTATCTATCAATTTGAGATAACAAGTATTAAGTATTATCAATTCTAAACATTGATAATGCAACAAAAATTATGCAAAAAAACACATTTTTTATCACAATAATAAAATGTATGTCCGACTAGCTGTTCAACGTTTAAGTAATAGCGTCTAATATATGGAAGTATATGAAATTATATTTATATGACATATATCACAATTATTAGTTGAAAAAAAGAATCAATGTATTAAATATTTTAACATTAAACAATTTGTTATTTTTTAATCCTTCGATTGCTTTATTAAATCTATTATACAGTTGCACGCACGCACGCACGCACGCACGCACGCACGCACGCACGCACGCACGCACGCACGCACGCACGCACGCACGCACGCACGCATGCACATGTACACAACTCTTACATTTAATTCTGAATTATTATGTAGAAATGTCTATAGATATAATGAATTTAAGAGTAACTTATTTGAATAAATATATCTTAATGGAATTATTTTGAATGTTCATTTAAGTAGAACATCCTAAGTATAATAAACGCGTCATCGTACACAAATTTAAAAATTTATTAATTTAAGAAGAAAAGGTGACAAAATTATTTTTTTAAAAGTATAAAACATAATTTAGCAGAAGGATAATGATAAAAACAAATTTGTTATTGTTATTTATTTATAAATTTTAAAATATTGGAAGAAATATTTTTATGGGATACTGAAATAAAATTAGAATGGAATACTGGAATTACTAAAAGACCAAAAATCCAGTTTTGTAAATCCCGTTTTATAAATAAGAATGTTTTCAAATGAAGTATTTATAAAATAACTTTGTGTAATGAAAATTTCTATCTACACAGATTGGTAAATGAACTAATGGTCTAGTAAATTGGATGAAGACAAAGTCGAACGATTATCGAACAATAGTTTGTTAGTGAGGTTTACTTGCTATATTGTTCTCCGAGAAACGTGGATTCAGCTTTAGTGTACGTGTTATTCTGTTTTCTTCTATAAATTAGACGATGCATTTGTCTCATAGTAGAGATTAAAAGCGATATAGAAAATGTCGAAAATGTCGATAATGATCTGATATCTTTTTAATTTTATGTAGTAACCAATAAAATAAAAACGATTAGTAAAAATACCGGTATATTTTATATATCTGTATTCGTATATAATTTTATGGAAATATCGGTGTGATATTGTAACAGTATTAAACATCGTTATTGTTAGAAATTGATTTGATTTATTATACTTTTTTATCTATTTTTATATGATAAACATTTTTTACATATCGCAAATAATTTAATATATTCAATGTTCCATTTTGATTAACATGCTTGAAAATTTCAAGATTTAATAAACTGAACAAAAATGAGATATTGAAATTAATAAATCAAAAAGAAAGATGCACAAAAGCATAAATAAGAAACTTCCTTAAAAAATGTAGTATTAAACAAATTATGTAAAATATTAATTAAAGAAAATTTTTGACTTCAGACAATATTGATGATTGACGATATTGATGATATAATACATTTATAAGGTGCAAAGAATTGTATCTATAATATCAATATTATAAATAATATCAACATTATGAAAATTTTAGTTAAATATCGTATATTGACATTCAATACTTGTTTATTAAAATTTTACATCATATGTTAAAATAGCATATTGCAAATTGTTTGCATCTATACGCAAACAAATTATATATTAGAGAAATATATATCTACGATACCGCTATACAATTATCGAAATGAAATTATTACAGTGTTTAGTCCTTGTCTCATATAATCGTTATAAATCTATGCTATATATTCATATATGTATATTCATATTCGTGCGTGCGTGCGTGCGTGCGTGTGTGTGTGTGTGTGTGTGTGTGTGTGTGTGTGTGTGTAATGATATTCACAGTATCAATATTCACAGTATTGATTTATTGTATGGATCTATCTCGTCAACTATTAAACTAATAAAACCATTTAGAAATTTATTCGGTCATACTGCATATTTGAAATAGCAGTCGCGTTAAACTGAGTGGCGCGTATCGATCGCATGATCGGAAAACAATGGGATTTATTTGCCAATTAGACAATTAGGTCGGTCAGAGAGGGCCCACGACTGGGGGCCGACTGAAAATTCAACGTCCACCGAACATGTACCAGGGCATAGAATGAAACGCAGACTATTTGCTGTGCATACACGTAACGGTTGTAATGTTGACCCTTTAGCCGAGGTCGGAGCAGGTTTCCATGTGCAAATTAATGATGTTTGTTCGCTTAACCCTTTTGCCTCTATCTCAATTTGTGTTATTCGTCCTATTGTTCTCACCTTATATAATAATAAGAGTTATTAAAGCGAGATTTTTGATATTTGAGATTTTTTTAAAGCATTTTTCAAAACTCTCACTAATCATCTAATAGTTGCAGCGATGTTAAAATTCCTTTGTTTAAACATTTTTTTTTAAATTAGCACTTGCATTGAAGCATAAATTGTTTCAGTAGATTAATGATATTTTAATTTCGAATAAACAAATCAATATAATCCGAGAATATGTTCGAAGAAAATCAAAATAGAACTAACTATTTTTACAAAATGACGTCAAGTATGCGCGTTTCATGTAGCGACAAATACTTGATTGAAAGAATATTAAAAAATATAATTAACATATTCTTTAAATTTCTATCTTAAAAGAACTTATAAAAT